AAGAACTGTATGCTAGAAGATAAGTTTCATGCCGTGTGTCAACAAAAGAGCGAAGCGATGCAGATGATAAAATGAGAGAATGCGCAGAAAAAGTTTTGAAAAAAAAAACTGATGACAAAGTGGGCCCGCTTATTTTGTTCTGTTCGACGTGAATGATGAATCCCTTCAGTTACATCTCGGTGAACAGAAACACGAGGTGCTTGTAAGTACCTCGTGCCGGACTTTCGATTACGTCCAGCTTTACCTGCGAGAGGTGACGCCTCGTGAAACTAACACACTCTGGAAGAAGCCTTACGTCATCATCATCATCATCATCATCATAATCATCATCATCATCATCATCATCATCATCATCATCATCAGCCTGACTACGTCCACTGCAGGACAAAGGCCTCTCCCATGTTCCGCCAGTTAACCCGGTCCTGTGCTTGCCGCTGCCAATTTACACCCGCAAACTTCTTAATCTCATCTGCCCACCTAACCTTCTGTCTCCCCCTAACCCGCTTCCCTTCTCTGGGAATCCAGTCAGTTACCCTTAATGACCAGCGGTTATCCTGTCTACGCGCTACATGCCCGGTGCATGTCCATTTCTTCTTCTTGATTTCAGCTATGATATCCTTAACCTCCGTTTGTTCCCTAATCCACTCTGCTCTCTTCTTGTCTCTTAAGGTTACACCTACCAAGCGAAACAGGAAAAAAAAAAAAAAACAGAAATCTGTCACTAAAGATTGCAGACTTGTCACCACCACTTAGACAATTGAGACACAACTCGAGAGATATCTTTTCACCAACATGCACTCACACATTTTTCTAAGATTTTTAACATTTTCGCGTTATATACAATCACTCTTTTCTGCGTTATTTTTTGTGATATTCGGGCTTACTGCAGGCTCCTATATTTGGGAGCGCTGCGTTTTTTCTGGCAATTTTTTGCAACGGTATCTCGGTGACATCTCTTCCAAGAATCACTTCGCCAAATTTCAGTTCCAGCAAACGCTCCAAAAAGCGACTTTCTTATACGAAAAGGCGAGTTAAAATAGCACTGTCCCATGTACCCAACGTCTGGTTCACGCAGACGAGCTTCTAAAGATTTAGACACTAATGGGCTGTACAACATGAGCCATTAATACGATTGCTCACTTACGAAATGTCAGCTTAACACGTGGTCTACATTCTCCAGTTTTTGTTTTTAGGCTTCTTCAAATCCCTCTATTTCAAGTCAGCCATGACACGGTGGGTTTTAGTATCCAACGGCAAGCACGATTCAGTAGATCGACGCCACACTAAATTGGCTTCTGAAGCTCGAAATATTGCGTCACCCTCGCTACAGCTTATATTCGCATCGTAGGACGGTGCTTCGACGACGGCCTCACTTTATCGCCAACTTATATCGAGTAGAAGGCTAACTCGTTTCGGTCAATTCATTGGTTCCTCAATTTACACCCCGAAGTAATAAAAGCCGCCGGCGAAGAACGTCGATAGCCATTTGATCTTTATTTCACCGCATCGCAATATACCGAGAATTTTACCGCATTGCAGCCTACCGAGAACAGAACGATTTCACAACCCTGGCAAGTGGCGCGCTGGCCGCTGCCACCACTCCACTTCAGCCCCCTGGAATGATGTGGCGAGACTGGTGCGGCCACCTCGGCCGCCTTCATGACGTCGTCTCATATCTACCTTACTCGCTACACTGGTACTTAGTTTTTTTTAAAGACGATAGAATTTTAGCCTGCCTGCCTGCCTGCCTGCGCATATATAATAATAATAATAATAATAATAATAATAATAATAATAATAATATTAATAATGATAATAATAATAATAATAATAATAATAATAATAATAATAATAATAATAATAATAATAATAATAATAATAATAATAATAATAATAATAATAATAATAATAATAATTATTATTATTATTATTATTTTTATTATTATTATTATTGCACATATCTGAAACACTATAACAAAACGTTGATATTTCCTACGTGCGTCTTTATACTAGAGCAGACACACATAAGTAATACTAAGGACCACAGCGTTTATCACACTGCGCTGACAGTGCAACGCGATGCACAAAACAGCAAGTATTTCCAACGCTTTGCTACAAATTGCTAATAAGACACGGTGGTGACACCTGCTGCGTTTTACACCTTATCGCCTCCGAGACAGCCATGCATCTTTCTCGGAGGGCGCGCACACCTTCCTTCCAGATGGCGCTCGTATCTTACGTGCCTCGATGCGCTTGTACGCCTTCGCTGCACGGAGAGAAACTCTAACACAGCACTTCCATAATACAATTCACCAATTTTCTCGTGCAGAACATCAAATAAACGTTGTGTTCATTCTCTCCACACACAATACTATCGTCTTTCGACGACGATTGCAGTGAAACATGCAGATACAGAGCCAGTTTTTTTTTCGAGCATTTAATACTTTTTTTGGTGCTGCAGATTTTTTTTCGTCATATATATTCCCAAACGTAACGCAACAGTGGACAGCTTTCAAAATAAAGAGGCTGCATCTGTCTTAGACGACATTCTTTCCTGGCAGTGCAACAGCCAACAAAAATGCCACGAATTCTTCCTCTGACACGTTTGGGCACATGGGAGATGTCTGCCAGCTTCAAAAATACACTGCGTCCGTCACCAATAACACTTTGCTACTTCAAGAGGCAGCAGGTTAATATCATACTCGGCAAAGAAGTTAAAGTTCGTTTTGGTTTCTTTTCTTTGTGACTCCCCTTTTTATGACTTCACCCTCCGTATTTGGCTTTGTACTGTTTCTCAGCCCATACGCAAGAGAAAGATGCTCAGTGATCTGGGCATCCAGCATTCTAGCTTCTTCTTGATAGTACATTCGAAGAGCAGCGTTTGGCCATTAAGGAAAGAGGTCTTTTGTTAAATGACACCAAAACAAGCTCTACCTGATATGTCAAGGCCACTGTATTCTTTTCTGTCTGATGGCTGCTATTCCACGTAGATCTTTGTGAAGCCAAAAATCATGGGGGACACGGACAGAACTAGATGTCGTGACAAAAAGATGTTGAAAAGGCGAGACAAAATTTGACAGAGAAAATGTTCAACGAAAATGACATCATTGTCGTTCTAATATAATAGATAAAAAGAAGCCGCTACTCCTGCTAAAGAAACGACTGCTCTGTCTTTCAGTTTCGGATGTGCCTAAGCCATCCTCATGTTGAACATGTCCGATTGTACCATTCGTGATTTTTTCGCTCATCAGAAGAAGTGGCAGCAATAGATGATACATCCCCTTAACAGAGGCAGCGGCAACTCTACAATCAACACGCAGCTGATGCAGTGCCTTGAGGCGTTACCTTTGTGGGCGCCACCTATCAAATGTGATTTCTCCGAAAGAACAACGCGAACAGAGGTTCTAGCTTGTGAGGCTGTGCCATTTAGGTAGTTTTACGAGCCAGGCATTGCACTGCTCCTTCTACATGGTGTGCGTTACAGAAGCCCCAAACTCTTACGTCATGCCTCACGAAACCTAATCCCCACTGTCTTTGTCACCGCACCGTTGGCTTTATGAAGCTGCCATCTATAGAGAAGCAGACGCTCTGTGCAAAATTGTCTCTATTGCACCACAGCGAAACCAAATGCCCATAAGAGTTTACGAAAGAGTTCTTGCGCCTACAGTGACACCCAGCTTCTTGCTGTGGCCGAATAGGATATATCTCTTTTCCTGTACTGATTTGAAGTAACTCTGTATGAGAAAGGGTCACGTAGGCTTGTGCTTGTCTGCCATAATTTATTGGCATCATTGCGCAGGCTGAGTTGCTTTCCGTAGATGAGCCACTCAGAGCACTCTGGTTGAGTCATCTATTTGTTGCATTGTTACTCATGAAAATCTAGCTAATGCTTCCAGTTTTGAGCTGACAGTCTGTATTTCTGCAACTGCTGCCGAAACCGGAGAACACGGGCTATTCGACGTTGTGACTGTGGCAATAAATGGAGCGACAGGGGCCGATAATAACACCGTGACATGCTGCCCCCGCATTATGCTGCTTTAACAAGGCCCCAGTTCTTGACCGACGCGTTAGGTGATTTTTCGAGTCACACATCTCCATTAATTAGAGCCCGAAGTACACGTATGCTAACTCTAAGTGAGGTATGAAAGCTTACAAAATGCTAAAAACAAGTAAACTTAAAAAGATAATGCGATACATATTCATGATAGGATAACTTCGAGTGAAAGACGCCAAGCAATCACTATAGAAAACTTTAACCGCAGAAGGAAAGGCCTATATAATGGTCGTCGGTTGGCGATATGGTGCGCAAAATATCACCTAACTGGACATTCTGAAATTATAAAGAGGTAGCAAGTCAAAAGGCTACAAACGTATTTACCGAAAGTAAAATTTTCGGTAATCAGAATCGACTTTGGTAGTTACTGTTACCCTGTGAATCATATGGCCCCCAATAATGTTTGATTATGTCGGAATAATAATGTTGATTGTCCATCGCATAGCAGCTTCCATTCATTTCAAGGCTGTTTGCACTGCGTCATCGTTGAACAAAGTTTCACTGGTAGTACATTCTGTAGTTCCTCTTAGGCGTTACCTTTCTCATTTTCCTTAACTCTCTCTCTCTCTCTCTCTTTCTCTTCGTTGGCTAGAAAACGCGACTTTCCCGTAAAACCTGTCTCGTTTTTATCAATCCATAAATCATTTCGTTATATAATAGCATGAATCAACATTGTCTTCGTGACCTTCAAACACTGAGTTAAATATAAAGAGAAAAAAAACTGTTTTCAGTCCGGTAGCTTCATTCACGAATCTTCTTCCAATCTCCTTCAAAATTCACTTGAAAATCGTTCCCTTTATTGACATTCTCAACCACATCGCCTACAATGCTGCCTCGCGATCGAGTGTAGCGAGAAAGGCTGCAGTGGCCCTTGTATAGACATGAAGCCAGCACTAGGACACGATGTATGCGCTCAATGTGATGTACAAATAAGTGCGCCACTCACCCTTCTCTTCCTCTCGGCCCCAGATGCAGCGATAGAGCCAACAGTGGGGTGTCACCACGCACACGGTGACCAGGATAGTGGCCGTGACGAGTCCCGCGCAAGAGGCCACCAGAATCAGGCGATCGTTGTCGCTGAGTTCCAGCATCTTCCTGGTCTTTAGGTTCTCTCTGATCACGTTCTGTGGCACCAATCAACCTGCGAACGTGAGGGTTATAAAAGAGTGTCAACAGCGCTCATGATCTGTTGAACATAAACGTAAGTCGGGGACGACTGTATTCCAGAAACAACAAGCAAGGCAAAGATTAACTAGGGCGGAAATAATATCGCAGTTTCGTTGTTAGGTCGAAGCATCGAATGTGGTTAAAACAAATCGTAATGTTATCCCACGGAAGCCTAATAAACAGTGAGAAATCGTGAGAGAGAGACAGAGAGAAATCGTGAGAAAAGACAGGGAGGTTAACTAATAAAGAGCTGCTTTATCGTACGAGCTGACATAACGAAACAAAACAGTGACTTAAGTGAACGCAACCTTAAGGAAGTGACTTTCACGCTGCTACTATCGCTTAAACACAGTATTTGCAATGACATTACACAGGTACAAAGGTATAAGCCGTCTTCAGATTTTTTTGAAGCATACGATGAGTGACGGTGGGAAACCACGCACTGTGCGCCAAAGAACGCATCTCCTACCACAGCAATGCGTCACCCTCTCTGGCTCTCCTGCATGCACAATTCGCATAATGGAGACCACCTGGCACATCTTGTAACAGCTTAAGCGGCGACCATTGGCCACTCTCGCTTGCTTTCACTCACTCGTAGAACACAGGTCACGCGTAGCGGCGTTATCGACTTTGACATTATAGGGAACACCTCGACAACGGCTACAGCGACGGCGTTGGTAAAAAAAGAAAGCCAGGAATCACCACAATGTGAATCATGACGATGGGGTGAAGCTCCGTGAATGATGATTAAGCATACATTGCCCGAGTGTTACCCCATCTGTCGTAAATTGAGGGACGTAAAGTGACATAAAGTGCCATAATGACTACGTCGCAGTTGCCGACTGGTATAAAGCTATATACTTGTAGGTGTTTATGCTGTTTTGCAAATGAATTCTGCAGAAAACTCGCAAGGCAGCGGAAGGGTCAAAAAAAGGGAAAAGAAGACAACCATTTGTTTGTAGCTCGAAGGCATAGACGGTGAGAGGTGTTACTGCTGAATTATCGTGATAACAATAGTGAATACGTACACGATAATGATCTGAGAAGGGTACATTGCTCCGTGGCTTGTCCCAGCAAGAACACGCCTCTGAGCGCTGCTCAGATTCCGTTTCGATGAAAGCCACGTCTGCGCTGTAACCTGAGTTTACGTCACTTCACACACTGCGGTACCCGTGAGACGCCGGGGCACTTAACGTAGCTGGTTAGACCACGATAGTGAACATCTCTCAAATAGACAAAGACATCGATTTACCTCGTAAGGCTTGACTCCAAATGTGGCCTAACCATAACATGCTGAGTGCTTCACATGTAATTAATTCGCAAGATGCGATGCGATGTGCCGTATTTACTTATATATCATTTCAACGCACGTACTATAATACGTCTTAGTCACACTGAAATAATTAGTGGCTGATGGCTGTCAACAAAGTATCAGCTACAATCTCTGGTGGCAGCCCACTCCCTAAAATATATCCATAGATAAAGTCCATTGTTTGGTTATGATCAATCAATGCGGTGCTCATGGTGATCGGTAAGGCGATTGACGTCAACGTCAATAGTCGTTGGATTTAAAGTGCAGCACAGCTGCTGCGAGAGTATCTCGTCACTCCATTGGTTAGACCGAGGCATCTAGTAACTACACGACCATACACACGTGGTGCTCTTCAAGGAATTGTAATCCAGCCAAGCCTTGGCAACAACGCTGCGCCCAGAATGTTATATACTGGCGCGCTAAGATTTACTTTCCAAGAAGTCACGCAAGTATAACACTGCTTTGAAACAGATGTTTCACGCAAGTAAGTTATTTCAGTGATTAGTTGGAAAATGAGAAGAAAGAGAGAAATGACAGTGACTGAAATAGTAAAAACAAATGAAAATACTTGTGACACTGATGAAGATTGCATCGCGTGTAACGTAGGCTTTTCAAAACATCGAATTCATATCGAAGCAAGAAATGAAGATTAGAATGTGGCTACAAGGTCAGGTGCTTAGGCTGGCTACGGTTACGTACGTCGACACCTCTCCTGATACCTCACCTTTTCACGTTCTCATCTTAAGGACTTGAAGCAGAAGAACCAGAAGGGGGGGGGGGGGGGCTGGAGAACCTTTGATAACCTCGTCATTTTTCATTGAAGAATGCTACACATGCCTATGGTTACAGAAACTAGATCTCCTTAGAAGCAGCTACTGAGCGAAATACAGGGATTCAATGCAGCGAAAAAATAAATCGAAGTGGTCAGAAACTACATCTACAGTATTCCTAATAGGACAGACATGACAAGAATGTACCGCGGAAGCTCTATTTTTCTGCCCTCTGTATCAGTTTTCTCCGAGTGTTTGTGTTGCAGTCGGAGGAGCGCAATATTTTCCGTGCGACATGATGCATTCTGAGAGGTCGCACCATTTCGTTACGCTCAAGTTCACTGCCCAGTCAGTAAAAGTGCAACACACTGGTCCAGGAGGGGTGTAGAAGCTATTTTGGTCACAGTAAAATTGAGCCGCGATACAAATACGCCAAGCGCAGCGCGCTAGAAAGTTATTGTTTTTTTATAAGTGCACTTTTTTTTAAAAAGCTAAAGCAATTTTCGCGACAAGACTGAAGCTAATTGAGTGCACCGGGAATTTAATGTTGAAGCAAAAAGTACTTGTAGTCCGTGGAAGCCATTTCGTTTCAAACAGTGTCACGAACGGTACTAACGATAAGAATTTTCTTTGGAACGAGGTGTGCTGATGGCTATCAAACCATTTATATACTCTTAATCGGAAGGTTGTGTAGGACGATGATGCGGCAGGCGTCCCATCGGCAATAAATATGCAAGAAACATATCGAGTACGTCTTCGAAGCACGACAGTTGTCTGAATAAACGCATCTGTCAATTTCGTAGTTTGACGTGAGGGAAGAAACCAGTCACAACGGCAGTGACACAAACGAAGTTGCCTGCTGACGTAAACATTGTTTTATTTTTTATTTTACTCACATTTCTCCGAATCGCGCTAAGCCTAAACGTATATCGATTTCGTCAGTAATAGGTGGATGTCCTCGACCCACGGGTGCCTATCCTTTCAATAAAAGCAAGAACGACAAAAAATAAACGGTGCTTTATGTTGAACGAACTTACTTTAGTCGTTCCGAATGACTTTCGCCCGTTACATGCGTAATTCAAATATTAAGCTCGTTTTGGATGCTCACCGTTTCAACGTGAACGCTAGCACACATGTCGTAGCTTACGTGAGCTCCCGAGGTGTTGTCGTCAACATGCATTGGCGGCCTGTCAGACCAACTTCGAAGGCAAAAGCTGCCTTCTTCGAAAGGCCACTTACACTGGTTACATCGTGGCACGCACGCACTTCGCAGACAGTGAAAGCTGGCTCACCCAAGACTATACGACGTCGGTGTCGTATTGTAATTCGTTACGCAACGAGATCGCTCGAATGCATTGTGCAACTAATGTGCACAGTTCCATTAGGTTATACAATTTTTGGTTGTCACACTCTGTTTGAAAGAGGACGCCGAAAAAAAAAGGGTGCGATGCCCAGTGGATCAAGCACATCTTTACACAAGAACAGAAAATATGTATTGAAGAATACGTTGGAATGGGCGCTCCCATGAATTTTACCGGCTGGGCACTTTGTACAAATGTTGTAGCTTCGCTGACGGTTTTAGCTCCATGCAGATGGTTTATGCTTCGCTAGTGCATCAGCGAAGCTAGGACATTAGTTCACAGTGTATATCAGCAGCTGGGGTTAATGCAACTGTCTTCTATTTTACATATTTTTATTTCGCTGAGTCTGAATTTGAGTCCTTATTTAAGACATGCATAAAAATACATGGCTGAGGAGTAGGGAAAAAAAAAAACCGCACAGTCGCGGCTTGACGTTGCTCCTTTTCCACGGATACATCGCGACTGCGGTATGCACGAAAAGACAAATAGCAAAGGCTAATGTGAAGCATAATAAACAAGAACTCAAACTCAGAAAAACTGGGTGCACAATAAAATGAACAGTACTAGAAAAAGATATCTCCAGATATATTCAAATACGGTTGCGTACACAAACTATAATACAAGCGGGGGGAAATGAACACATTAGCGAAATAGCTTTTCAAGAGAGTTAAATAAAAGTTCGTGTTATCGAGGTGCGAGAAAAGCCAAATTTGTTAAGCAAAGTAGGCAATGTATAGCTTAGGGCTTGAAAGCTGTAGTTAGTCCGCGGGTGAGGCACAAACCAATATTCGTGGTGCCTTGTAAGATAGTGAGGAATGTTGGTGTGGAGCTTAGCGACTTCAGATAAGAACAATATGCCGCGTTCTATCTGAGTTCGCTATTACCATATTTAAAAAAGAATGCGTGCTTTAAACGTTGCGTTTGATGACGTTCGATTACGAGGACCTGAAAAACGCCTCAAGAATTTTACAAGTAGTGATGCACGCAGTGGTTGGTATTATTCATCGTATATGCAGACAAACTTCTGCGGTACCTAACAGTATTAAAATGAGAGCAAACAGTCGAACTATTGTGCTGAGACTTCTTCAGGTCAAAAATGACATAGCATTGCTTATTCCATTTTCAGCGGTTCAATTGTGCGCCCCCGAGCTTCCTTTTTCTATTATTAATTCTTATTCATTCATCAATCATCAGCCTGACTACGTCCACTGCAGGACAAAGGGCTCTCTCATGTTCCGCCAGTCATTCGGTCCTGTGCCTAATGATCCCACTTTATGCCCGCAAACCTCACAATCTCATCTGGCCACCTAACCTTCCGTCTCCCCCTAATCTGCTTGTTCTCTCTGGGAATTCAGTTAGTTACCCTTAACCACCAGCGGTCATCCTGCCTGCACGCTACATGCCCGGCTCATGTTTTTTGTACCATGGTACAAACTGAAAATCAGGTGCATTCATTTATATAACACATACTCGGTACTGGTGGCAGTTTTTTAACGTTCACAGGCCATCATATTTCACACTACCAAACTAT